ACTTCTTTGCATTCCCCACCTTAAAACCAAGTGTCTTTCTTATTAGCCTCTTGCTTGACTTCAGTCTATGACGTGTCTTCGGCTCTTTTCCTCACATGGTTTGAAGTCTCTTCAGGGAACCTGTTTTGTGTTCAGGTTCTGTAGACACTGCCTTGCTCCGGGTGACCTGTTGGTTAGCACACGAAGCTCGTTGGGCCCCAGCTGTCAGTCACTTCCCTGCTCCTTCAATATCAGGGGGCGCTTGCATTGACGATGGGAACTTCTGCATTTCATGACAGGAAGGCCTTGCAGGGCTGTTTTCTCACTGTTGCTGCATCTGTCTGTCTTGGTACGTAAGATATTTATATGGAGGGAGGGATGTTTGTTTTAGCGCACGACAGATACTTGCAGTGAAGATTAGATCGTGCACTTCTGAGAGTCTCCAAAGCATGTAATAAACAATTCTTCATCTTTAAAACAAAGGCGTGGGCCGCCCCCTCAGCCTGCACAGTGCTCATAGCTGCCAGAATAAACTCCCTGCCCATGTCAAGCTCACCGCACGTGTATATACTTCGAGTTCCCTGTTTTCTTTCATCTGCTTCCTTGGTAAACAGACGGCAGACACTTCCTCTGCCTGATCTCTCCCTGACCCTCTGCACATCTAGCTCAGACGCCAACGGGCTGTGTGTCTCAGGCTATTCATAGAGGGAGGGTTACCTTCCTTCCTTCTGGAGAAACCTGGGTCTTTTCATGGGTCTGTTTGCAAAGGGCTGTTTGGAATCGGAGGTACAGGGTAACGGAAAACGATCTCTCTTTTTGTGGTACTTGAACAATCCGTTAAAAATTTCTCCAATGAGCCATCTCCAGTGGGTGCTGGTCGCACTGTGCCTGCTTTTGAAGTATTTTCTCCTCTTGGGGTTGTGGGTGGTGTGAAGAGCCACATGACCATTCATTGCAGAGGGTGCACTTGGCAACAGAGGAGGTGAAAGCCAGTGCAGGGAGCACGTGGCTCGGCCACTCTGCTGAGGCTGCGAGCGTCCTGGCTGGTCCTGGATTCTAACTTTGATCCAGAAACTACCGTTAGGTCAGTCTTCAGATACAGATGGGAAGCCAGGACACCTCATTCCTTAACATGTTTCCTGTGCGGGCAAGTCATACAACCCAATTCAAGGGCTCAGATTCCCTCTTTTATTTTTTTATTACTATTTTTAAATATATGGTTTTTTATTTCAGAGAGGAAGAGAGAGGGAGAGAGAGGGAGAGAGAAACATCAATGATAGAGAGAATCATTGATTGGCCACCCCCGATCGAGCCCGCAACCCGGGCATGTGCCCTTGATGGGAACCAAACCTGGGACTCTTCAGCCTGCAGGCTGATGCTCTATCCACTGAGCCAAACCAGCTAGGGCAACATTCTTATATATAAAATATATAATATAATTCAAGATATAATTCACATACTATACTATTCACCCATTTAGAGTATGCAATTCAGTGCTTTTTAGTACATTCACAGGCTTGTGTAGCGATTACCACAATTTTATAACATAAGGAAACCTATTTTTAAAAGTAGAGGTATTCAAAGACATCCGGATTGTTTGCGGTTTTTGGATGCTACAAATAGAGCTGCTTAAAAAAAAAAGTATGTGTGATTATAACAAAATAATTAATCTTCAAATTAATGTCAGAATCATGTGTTTAAAAAACCTTTAATTATACTGTAATTACTTCTCAGCTATTTAGAGACATTTTGTGCCAGTGTGCTGAGCTGGAAAACTTTACTAAATGTAAAATCCTTTTTCTTTTCTTTCTCTCTCTCTCTCTCTCTCTTTTTTTTTTATTGTTGTTGTTATAGCAGTGTCTTAGTTTTCTTCATTTTTATTTTTAAAAGTTGTTGGTCAGAAAAGTGAAATGGATGATGTTTGCTTAAACAGATGAGTTTTCTATATTATTGTAAGGGCCATAAACACATGTGTGGTTACTAAATGTAGGCTAGATAACTGTTTTAGCTTATCAAGTTCACACGGATCCTGGGTAGAAAATTTATCACTCATTGAGCAGTGGTTCTCGTTATTTGATGCAGATTATAA